ACTCTCCCCACCTACTCCTGCTCCTTTCCCCTTTCTCATTTATAGCCATCTCATTCAATTTCTCCCGCAACTAATATTTTTGGGTGTCTACTTCTCAGGAAACCTAAAATGATTTGCCCCTTCAAAAGGACTCTGAAAATAAAGACGCACTTGAATTGTTTAAGTATTCCTGAAAGAAAATATACATTATTCCATATGTGAATCTCAAGAATTTCTCTTCTAAATGCGGCCCAATACAATAAGAAATGAAGGAACTTAAGATAACCGAGATAATATCTGAGAGGAGACATTCTCACTTTAGAAGATGATTACTTAAATGAACTGTTGATGCTGGTAAACTTAGGAACTGAACTGCTATTTGTTAACATTCATAATGTCTGTGACAGTCTTCTCTGAGGACGGACCACTAGGAGGAGATGTGGTAAAAGTGGGCAGGGCAGAGGAACAGGCTCTGGATGATATGTTAGAGTAAAACAAACAATTTGATATTGAAGGCAGCCACATTTTAATTTGAATTTCAATGCCTCCTCTAATTACATGTGCTGTCTTTGGCAGACTAACTTCTCTGAGCCCCAATTCTCTCAACTATGCAATGATTACTAATCTTCATCTTGAAGGGTTGTTATAAAATGTACTGTTTTGGCCTGCTTAACACATAATATGTGTTAATTTTGCCTTCCTGCCCAGCAGAAAAGGGGAGGCAAAGGTGACTTGCCATCCATCTATAAGCAATGTACAACATGCCCTCAAGCTAGAAAGCTAAATGCATTTCCCTTTACTTACAACTCAAATCTTTACGGAAAAGATATTATCTCATCTCACTGTCTGATATCAGCTCATCTTATCTCATCTCACCGTCTGATATCAGCTCAAACTCCTTCCGAATTCCATCTCAGGTCCCCCCTCTCTGTTATTATTATTACGATAATATCAAAATTATGCATTCTCTTCCTCTTTATCATTCCTATGCCATTCTTGTGTCTCCAAGTATCTTGCCAATACATACATTCTCTTCTTACTGAGTTAAACTCATTTTTCTAATTATTTCTAATTAAACTCATTTTTCTAATTATACAGTTTCAAATGATAGCATTTCTACTAATTTGATTCATACAATATATATTAGATAATCTCCCTATTTTTTACTATTTTAATCAAATATATGTCTCCCTGATCAGTAAGATCAATCACTGGGTACTCAATAAAAGGTTTAAAAATATGGTGCTTTGTAAAATGATGACTTTGAAAAGACACAAGACTAACTACTCTAGCATATATCAAATGGCACTTGTCTACTATTACCTAAAGGGAATTTGGATGAGTTGTGATATATGTTTATCAGTGACAGAACACTGAGCTTCCAAGGGGTTACTTCCAGGAGTGGGATGTTCCACACTTCTAACATGAAGCTCAACAGAGGAGCAGATCCCTACAATGTCCTCCACCCCCACCCTAAAGGTTTTCTGGTCCTTCCTATCTTATAGGCTTTTCTACCACAAGAGGTCATGCTTGCATCTATATACAGTGTTCTATTAATCTTTTCCTCTTCTCATCACCTGCATCTATATGGCATTGCTTAGCTAAGCTGGCACATTAATCTTCTTAGATGCCACAAACCAATGTCACCATGGCTGTAGGACCCTGGCTGTTGTGTTCTTACCTTTCCATTCATTGCAGTTACAGGAAAACCATAAAAAGAAGAAGGCTAGAATAACAAAAACCAACCAGGGTGGGTCAGAACCAAGATAGTGCTAAATCTGACCTCTCTAGGAGACCCTGAACCTCATTATACCCTGATTATAATACATTAGCATGCTGACAAAACCTGCTGGTACCATGACAGATCTACTCAGACCATATAAGGGCAAAAAGGGGATGGTGCCCCATGTCTTAGGAAAGACCAGCCCATTCCCCCAATACCTAATGCATACGTCTCCCCCTCATTACGTCGCTTCCATAATAACATCCCCCAGACTTTTCTGTGATGAGCAGTAGATTTGTGAGTGTAACTCCCATTTCCCCCTTCTCTGGCCATCGAATTATAACTTGCACTGCTGAAGGCTCAGCTTCGTTTTTGTTTTGGATCATAGACACTGAAGAGACAAAGGATCCTTAGAAAGACAAAGGATCCTTCCAGGGGACCAGGTTCCCACAGTAGGGGCCTGGGAGATCTAAACTGGTAACACCAACTCATGGCCAGATTAGACTGTTCAGGGACCAGTCATCTCTGTCCTGGGCCTAAAATGTGTCTTTTCTTCCTGGCATTTCTGGAAGTGCAGAATTCTGAGTTTTCAGGGATCTTAAGGACATTTGGTCAACGGTTTCCTCCACAATGCCATGATAGATGGAATACTGAGCTGTCTACTTAGATCATCTTATAATACAGAGTGGGCTCCTTTATGAGGTAATTGTTCAGATGATCAAGTAAAGAACTAAGGCAAGATTAAATATCAAATCTGTCATTCTATGTGAGAAGCTAATTTGGGAATTACATGTTTATCGTGAAGGGCGAAAATGGGATCCAACTGCTTCAACTCCTACTCCCCTTGTGAAAGAGATATGGCGTTAAATAGAGCCACTCTGTGTTCCAGACACAGTCGGTAAGAAGGCTGTTGGAAATCACTGCAGGAAATTATAGACAGAAACAGGACATAGAAAGGCACTAGATTAGGGGCCACTCATTAGCTATAAGATTCTGAACATGTTTCTGCAACTCAAAGTGTCCCTAATTTTATAATGTGGGCCATGGGATGGAAGATCTCTAAGGACACTTCCATCTCTAAAAATACCTTATTTTGTGATTCATGCCAAATAATTGAGTAGCTACAGTATACAGAAAAATTAAGAAAGCTTATAAAAAAATATCACTTTGATGGCTTTATTTTTTCTTGACCTTTTAACAATCTCATTGCCTTAGAATCATTTTTCAGGCAGCCTTAGAATTATAAAGGAAAATGAATAGTAGAGGATACTACAGTTTCTGTCTTTCTTTACCTTCCTATAAATAGTATTTCAACAAACTGGACATGCGAGAGCTGTTAAGGGTGGTAGTAAAATCCTGGTGAGCCCACTATTGCCCAAACCATTTCTCCCTAGCTTCCTCTTGCATTCATCTCCTAGACCCTCCAGTCTACCCCCGAGTAGATCTCTTAAAGCCACTTTCCTCCTCGCTTTTTCAACTGATTAATATCTTTCAAATCTCAAATGGATATTTTTCCCAAAACTTTCAGTTTCAATTATTTGACAAATATATATGTGCTTAAACTTCAGAAATATATGTTTAAAAATCAAAAAGCCTTTTGTTCATATTCTTAGGTCTTCCCTTCTCTGGTTATGACTAAACATAAGAAAATGCCAATGATATTACTAGTTCTTCTCCTTATTAACTAGACTATAAATTTATTATCTTTCTAAGTAGAAGAGAATGAGAAATCAAGATAGTTTCGCGGGGTATAGTTGTAAATTTTTTGAAATTTAAATAAGAAAGAGAGTGGGGAGAGAGAGAGATAGAAGCAGTAAAAAGTAATAGAAAGGAGAAATAAAAGATAAGAAGTAAAAGCTAACTCAGAGGCCATCTCCTCTATGAAACCCCAACTTTCTCAAGCAAATTTAATGACCACCTCTTCCAGATTTCCCAGTATCTTTTTTCTTTCATTTTGCTAACTTAGTACCTAACATATTTTATACTAGTTACCTATGTATCTTTTTTTTTTTTTTTGGCTATCATGAGTAACTCGAGGTCAAAAATCATGTCGCATTCATCTTTGTAAAACTATGTTTATAGTCAATAAAAAAATATTTAATTGAAATGAAAATTCTGACAAGAGTGATTTACAATTCCAAATGCTACAAAGTGGGGACTGCCACTATGCCTTATGCTTATTCCATAGCTTTTCTTGTTTACTCAGAGACTGGGAACCTTTCTAAAAGTTAAGATTTTCTGGTACTGCTCACATAAATTAATTTCTATTGTTCTTATCTCAAGGCTCTACAAATCCTCCTCCTTATTCAGATTGTCAGTCAACAAGATTCATGAAGCCTCTATTGGTTGATCATTATATTAAGGACTTCAAAGAAGATGTAGTTAATGTGTCCCCTCCCTTCTTTAGGAAACTCACAATTGGGGGGCGGGTTGAGGGTAGAATTCAAAACATCTGTGAAACAGACATTAACACTATGAACATAAAGACTGTTCACTGTTCTCTCCTTTCTTCATTCCTCAGTCTATACAAAATTTTATTCTCATTTGCTTTTTAAAAATTCCTTGAATCATCAGTTCCCTAATCTCCACCTTCCTATTGTCCCATCCTCTACACTTCAAATAGTCTCAAATTTGGTCATTATTTTAAAAAGAGTGTGGAACTGAATAGCTGTCACAGACTTGAATCACACTTTGAAATGATTTTTCAATGGGCAGAAATGAGTCTCTGCCATAACAGTAAACCCAACCAGGAGAGCTCAAAGAGTAATACTCGTTTTAGTACTACAGTGGAGTAATGCTCATTTGGGTACCACAATCAAGTAATCTTAATTTTAATATTACTTAGAATTTAGAATTTTGTATTGCTTGTATTTAATATTTAGCTTTATTTAGTATTGACTATTCAGCAATACTAAATAGACTTGTTTAGGAAGTGAAGAGGTTAATACGTAATGTAGAAGCTCTAATATCCTGAGAATCCAACAAGATTTTCCAAAAAGTGCATTTGCAAACTCTTTCTTTGTTCTTTTGCAAAGCCAGAAATAAGAATATTTGCTTAAAGTCTTTGAACTCTGAGCTCACCTTTATTCAGTAATCTATACACCCATTTAATCATATTATCATATTTCCAAACCTTATTCACTTTTTCTTTCTCTCTCTCTCTCTCTCTCTTTCTTTTAAACCAAGGCAGAAACATCTCTCTTAACATCTTTATCTAACCCCAGAAAAAGAGGCCATAGGGTTTCAGAATAAGGAAAAATCCATCCTCCTACCAACACAGCTGTGCGGTGACACTTACGTTGAAGTCGTACAACACACCGAAGTTCGCTGCAGATGCCTCTTCAGCTCTGGGAACTGTTTTTCTAGGTAAACTGCCATATGGCAAACCCCAGAGGTACTATGTGCAGAAGCAAAGAAAGCAGTTAACAATTGGAAACAAAGTCTGAACCACACATGCGATCACGAATGGTTTTGTTTAAAAGCACTTCTGAAGCCTTTTCATGAGGACTCTGTGGATCTCCATGTGGGGTCCATTTTCTGGGAATCAACTATTAAATTCAGAATTAAAAACAAAGGGAATGCTAAGGGCCCTGCATTCTGAGTTCAGTGGACCACCAGGAGTTGGGCCAACCACATTGCCCAGAAGGCTACTCACCACCACCTTCAAACTGGTCTCATTTACAGGAGGTCTGGAAAGCAGAGAGGTGGCCTTTGGGGGACTATAGTGTTCTAGAAAACGGTACTACCCACATCTTCATGTGGATTGGGGACTAGAGGAAGAATCACTCACGTTAAGGAAAAGAATTCTTAGGAGAATCAGACAATTTGAGGGCAACAATATGAGGGAAGATTGCACCCTGATTATCATGTGTGCTTCACCACCAATTCAGGTTTACTGCCCTGATTTGTGCTATCAGATTAGAAGAGAAGTTATGAGGGGTGAAGCCAGCCCATAACAGGGCAAGAATAGTGTGATACCAAGAGACTTGGTGAGAGCTGAAAAAGCATTCCTTTAGACCCAGGGCAGGCACATGGCTTGCCGAGCAGATGATGCTTCTTATGTAAGAAGAAACTCTCTTTTCCTGGGTGCAGAGACTGACAGCATAAGGGCTGGAAATCAGCCCCTTCTCTCTCTCTCCATACAAGCTCTCTGCTTCTACCGCAGCCCTGCAGCCCCTCTGGCTTCCTGGGACTAAAAAGAACAGAGGGTGAGTCTACCCATGCTATCTCACCCCAAAGTTAGGAGCCGCAGAGGATAGAGAAGATTAGGGCCTCGGGCTTGTCCAGGGACACAGGAAGTTGGGCAAAAGGGCATATGCATCGAAGGGACGCTGAGTGAAGCTGCTGGGTGGACGCAGCTGAAAAGTGGAGACTTGTTACCAGGAGGTGACCAGCCCTGCCTCTGGTGGTTCTGTAAAGTTAACATGCAGGGTGCCCATTCTCTTTTTTCTTTTGCTGGAGTTGGTAATCATTGTTCAGAAAACAGAATGCCCCTAAGCATTTAATACCACCTGTAAAAAAAGCATCTAAAGCCAATATACTTCCTAGTGCTAGGAATACATCCAATTGAACACACAGAAGCTCCCTCCACTACATACTATCAGGGATTCTGCAATTTCATACAGTTGGAATGAATTAGCTACAACCTTTCATTTTCTCCACATGGAGGCAGCATAGTGCGGGAGAAAGAGTAAATGCAGTTGATAAAGCTCCACGTATAAGGAGTGTCATAGTACCTGGTGTTGAAATTTCAGGTTTCCTTAGAGAGATGAACGAAAATAAAGCTGGAGTTAATTTGAAATAGATAAAATACATACATTCTGCTGCATTTCCTGAGTTTTTGTTTTGGAGATTAACTATACAGGCCTTATGATCTGTGCTCACTGTCTTCTATGAGCCAAATAGCTGTAGAACCCCAGAATTATCTCAGGAATTATAAAGCTAGTGGATTAGGATGCAAAAGATATAATCGTGGATCCTAATCCCAGATTAACTTTAAAAAAACAAAACTCACTCTGAGACATTAGCTAAGTCCAATAAGCATTATGTGATTCAGTTTTCACATTTTTTTAAGTGGCAGAAGAAAAACTCTTCTATAGTCTACACCTCATTAATTTGTTGTGAGGTTCGTTAAGTAAAATAAGTGAAAGCGCTTTGTACTATTAAAAGCCAAAAACTCTTTACAAATGTAAGGCACTATGCATATTATTATGCTAATGGGAGGCCTGATACAGAACTGGGCCCTGATTCTAAATCATGGGGATAAAAACTCACTCAAAATAGCTGTTGTCAATGCTGTATTGAACAAACTGGCTACTTAAAAAGACCCTTTGTAGGAAAAATAGAGCCTAACCCAGTTTTTGTATGGTAAGCATCCGAAAGGTTAGAGTCATTTAACTTCACGTGGGTGAAGACCCCAACCTCACTCTTGTTTCTTGGCCTTAGCCAACCCTTCCCATATCATCAGGATGTCCCCCCTTCTTTAATCTGGACCCTCTATCTGTTTTACTCTACTCTCTGACCTTGGTTCTAAAGGCCCTACCCCACTACGTGTGTGTATGTGTTATTTTACTTTATATCTAAAAAAATTGCTCACACTGTGTTTCTTTAGTAGAGAAAAGTTGAATGCCTTGAGTTGCATTAAGAAGCATTTCTTTCAAACCAAACTTGGCAAAATAAGTAAATACAACTCACAGGTGTCAAAGCCTTTCTCTTGGACAATTAACATCTGGGTACAAGGGCCACCTTGGGACTCTGACAGAAGCTATGAATCTTTCCACACAAAAATGTACATGTAAACATACACATGACATTTTATATATGATTTCAGGAGGCTCACGCATCCTTTATAGCAAGGATTAGGAATTTTGGCCCATGGGCACCATTTTGGAGATTAACCTTGCAACTAATACTATGACTCAGAGTAAATGAAACCAGTTAGTTATTCTACTCTTAAAGAGGAAAAACGTTTTCTAGGAGAGTGACCACATGAGATGCCTGTTGCAGCATGTTTTGCAAACTGGGAGTCAAAGGCTTACCTCTGGCAACATGATGAGGGTAAAGGTCAGGACGAAGAGAACCATGTTTACTCCATACATCCATCTCAAGAAGAGGAAGTATGAGGCCACCGATGAACCAAACTGGCCTATTAAAAAGAACATTAAAAAGGTTGAAAGTAATGTAGGGAGGTAAGGAGGAGGCAAGAGAATTAAAATGTTAATCAAGCCACATTCAGAGACTGCAATATGCTGATTGGCTCTGCAGCCAGGCCAGGAGGACACCTTCAGAACAAAGGAAGATTTCTGCTGGGATTGCTAACAGCCCATTCCCCACACCTGTGAGGAAGGAAAAGGAACCAAGAGTCATTCCCTGTGGCTAAAACCATGGGTTTGGAACCTGTGGATTAAAGGCTGGGAACTGCCAGCAGGCCTTTCACTCTACATATTCTTACCTTTTCAAGCTACATATCCTTCCCCTTCCTCACTGTTTGTCCATATCAAAGGAAACTGGGTTAACAAAGTCTTTTAAATTATAACTCACAAGAATTAAAGAATGATATGTAAACTGGATTGCAATAAATAAGCTCCAAATATAGAAGAGGGGGGAAAATATGATGAGCCTCTCTGACATTTGTCTTTAAAATAAAACTAGCTGCACGTCAAGTTTGAGCTTAATTTCTGGAAATAGGCGGAAGTCGCTCCGGATCATGCATGGAAGGCTAATTGAAAAGATCAGTCGGGGCGCTTGTGGCAGCCTTGTCACTTTGTGACAGTGCTCCGCTCCGGGAAATTGCATCGTCACGACAACGCCCCCCGCCATCCAAGGAAATAAAACAAAAGCTTTGTCTTGTTGCCTTCTAAAATAAATCTGCTCTTTGCAACACATTGCTCCTTTTCACCTATATAGTCTCTAACATTCTTCTGTTTCTATCTAGGAAGAGAAAGTGTTAATTATGATGGAACTACTCTCTATTATGTAAATGTAGTTGTACAGAATTATTATAACCTATGCCTTTAGTCTATCCAGGGAAAAGCTGCCTTTGGCTAAGCAGCTAGGATTGCCATCTGAAGAGCTCATTTTATTCCTTGAGTTAATACAGTTTAAGAGAGCAAATATATGTAAAGCAGTTACTACAGGGCCTGGCCAATAGCTAGCTATCATTATAATTATGTTTGCTGCACTTCTTCCTCCTTTTTCTCAGGCAAACAATATTTCTCTCAAAAAAAGGTGCCATATCCCTACAGGCCATCTTGTGCTGTTTCCCCACATTAGTGAAATTTTACAAGTATAATGTAGAAGCTGAAGTTCATTCATTCACTCCACACATTTTTACTAAGCATATTCTTTCAGGAATTATCATAGATGTGAAGCACATTGTCACAGACAGGGTTACTATCTTACTACAACTTACATTTTAGTGAGGTTTGAAAACAACAAATATGAAGGAATTTAAATATTAAAATATGCATATTTAGGATATGTATCATATATATTATATATTCTATTATGTAGCATATATTCTATGTGTATGATATATATTATATATGTATATTATTACATATTATATGTATATGTATGATAATGGCTAATATGTGGATTATCATATATTATATGACATACATAACATATGTAATATGACATATAATTATATTACATAAATTACACATATAATAATTATAGCCAGATAGTTTGTATAGAGAGGAAGGCAAAAGACTAAAGGGTTGCTTTAGATAGGTTGCTCAAGGAAAGTAAATCAAAGGAGGTAACATTTGAGCAGAGATCTGAAGTTGGAGGAAGAGGCAGCAACATCCCTAGCTGGAGAAGAGCAGCTCAAGCAAAGGAAAGACCAAGAACAAATATCAATCTCAAGGGAGGCAAAAGCTCCAGAAAATCAAGAAACAAACCCAAGGCCTGTAATAGGAGCACAGTGAACAAGAAGCCAAACTACATTGTGTAGGGTATTTTTCTCGATTAAGAAAAAAGGTGAGGATTTTATTTTAAACGTGATGAGAAGCAGTTGATACCTGTTAAGTGGTGGGGCTGGGGCAGGGGCGGTTATGACCTTTAAGAAATCACTTAAGCTTTGGGGAATAAATTGGGAGGGGATAGGTAAGAATGCTCTGTCAACTCACACCTGCTCTAAACAGTAAAAATTGAAGTGATCTGTTCAATGCTTATTGAATAAGAAAAAAATAAAAGCATTCTCTTAAGTCTGAGAATGGAAGAGAAGAAAAAACAGGGATTTGAAGTCTCAGGTTGATTTATAAAAGCCAAAGTTTCTTTGATAATCACTTAAGGTTCAACATCAAATTACTCATTTTCCCAGTCTCCCCAGTTCTCATTTTCAGTTGCCCAAGAAGAAACAAAGAACAGCCTCCACCACCTGCTACCTAAACCCCTTTGCCTTGTCTCATTCAGCAAAGCACCTCCAGTGACCAATGGTTTCCTCAGGTCTCTGGCTTTGAAACGTTATTACAGGAGGAAGAAGGTTTATGTGGAGAATAGTGCAGCCTCCAATTACGAAGTTGAGGCCATGTTCACATAAGAGTCATATCTCTATTTCTGGCACTTAGTCTATTCTTTAGGTACCATCGTACTTATCCCCATGATGCGGTGGCAGTTTTTATAGAACCTTAAAAGGAAGTCAATATCTAAGTGGGCATTTGGAAAGAAATAAATTATTTTGAAGTCTGGAATATTTGGATTCATTTCAATTTGTAGAGGGGTGAGAGTTCTACAAGATTTCTAAAAGCGTGTATTTTGATAAACACACCCCTCCCCGCAGGTTCTGTAACCAGATGCGCTGGCCTGTCTACAGAAAGGCTAACGCAGATCTGTCCCTCTTAGGACATCCGATCACCCACCTGGCTCCCAGTGATTTCATATTGTTTCATGGCAGCTATCTATGTTCTCTGGTAACGATTACCCGAGGACTCCCTCAGCCAGGTTCATTCGTCATGTTTTATTGAAAGTAGTAGACTTTTAGCCTGTTAGTCATTACAGTTACTCATTAACTGGACAAAAACCTTGTCTTCAGGTATTTAGCGTGAACTTTTCCTTGAAAACACATTTAAGATCCTCTGGTACAGAGTCCCAAGCACAGGATACTGACCCTTCTTTTTTTCCTCCCTTACATTCTTTCCTCCTTCTCTCTTTTCCTCCCTCCCTCCCTTCTTTCCTTCCTTCTTTCCTTTGACAGTTTTTCTTTTCTAATTAGCACCACGGCCCACCCTTTCCCAGGCTCCAATGCACAACCTCTGGCCAATGAGTTTCTTAAGTCGAATATAGAGTATAAATATACCTAAAGGTAAAAAAAGAGGAGTCAATTAAAATGTATACCCTCTGCCATATATAAACCATAGTCATTATGGATGAAATATACTTTAGACTCCAAAGCTTTCAAACTCTAGTTTTCAGACTTGAAAGTGGCTTCACAACAATTTTATTTGGAAATAGAGAAGTGACGTCTATTTATTTTCTTTACTGAATCCTAAGTGCAAAGAAAATGCATTGCAGGAAAATAGATTTCACTAAAACCAGAGTGATTGTAGAAAAAACACAGACACAGTTCAAGAAAAATAAATAAATAAAAACTGAGTAATCCAGAAAGCAATGTTCCTTTTACATGACACCTACCAATGGCAGAGGGGTGAGAACAATAACAAAACAAAAAAAGAGCTTAAATGAGAGAAAATAAATCAACTAGTTGACATTAAAGTTCCATAGGACCTTTCCCTGTCTCGACACAAAAATGAAGTTCTCTCCTACTAGACATTGTGGGCTAAAACGAGCATTCACTAAACACAGAAATCTTACTGTAATGTGGCTAAAAGAGCATGAACAGTCATTTCCATGTGCTTAGTCTCTGAGATAGAACTTATTGATTCTTGTAAACAAGAATGAGTAATAATTATAACAACTAACATAGCTTGATGGTCAATTATGTGTACTAAGAACTTTAGCAGCGTCAACTCATTTTACTGCTTCTGGAATCTGGTAAGGTTAACTATTAGTGGATGGGAATAAAAAACTTAAACACAGACAATGCCTGAACCGAGACTTGTTAGTAATAATAACAGCTACCATTTAATAAATCTTTGTTTCAGACATCTATTGATCTCTGCATATTAACTCATTTAACCATCATCAAAACTCTGCAGGAAGGAAATTATTGTACTTCCACTTTACAGAGACTTAAGCCCATAGGTTACACAGCTAATACATGACAGAGCCAGGGTTACACAGGTAGCTATATAGGCAGTAAACGATGAAGCCAGGTAGTCTTGATCTATAGGTATTTGATTCCAAATCTAAATCTCTCTTATCCACAGTGCTATATAGCTCCTCAAGTAGAATCATAGTTTAATTTTTTAAAAATATGCCATATAGAATAAATAAGCAGAGAATGTGTATGTCTGAAAGGATGAAGACAATGTCCATTAATCAGCAAAGGCCAGTCAAATTCACACATTCAGATGGTATCCATAAATGACCAATTCTTCTTTTTTCTTTAATCTAACTGATAAATGTTGTTTCCAGAGTGAATCACTGATATATTAAAACAGAGTCTTTGGCATGTGTTAATGTGCTGCCTTAAGCTTATGCAATATTCTTGTTCCTGAATTTTCTTGTTTGTCTTTTAAATTATAGTGAACATTTTGCCTCTCCTTCTGCTTATTTATTATTAAGGCAAAGTAATTTGTGGTTTGTCATCATGCATAATTTTCTCTTGAACAAGACAAGCAAGTAAATATGAGCATTTATAAATGGGAAAAGACCAATTAAATCACCTGCTGTATGAGCACAATAAGAGTACCATCTTGTTAGGCTATGATACAAAGGCGTTTCTTTCAAACTAGTCTAGGGATAGAGAATTAAACATGGCACATTTGATTTGTATTTTCTGGAGCCTTTAAGCCAACAAAGAAATATGAGATTTAAACTCTGTGCTTGGGTAGTCCATTTGAAGATCTTTCCAGTCTGAAAAATGGTTCTATCACACATCAATTTTGATGCCATATTCTACTATTAGAAAGAAGTAGATTTCGACTCTGAGAAAGACTTGTTATCTATAGCTTGAGAGACATTCAATTATTTGATCCATGGTTTTAATAGTACTGTTAGTGTCACAAAGGGTATAGATTACATTTCCCAGGAGTATAAATGTGCAGCTTCTTCAGCAAAATATGCAATGCGGTTAATAAGGTGCATTCCTATGGGTAAACCTGAGATTTTAGGCATGGCCTCTTTACAAGGTTGGTATAACAGTAAAACTCCATGGCATCTCCATTTGACACAGAACTTCACAGCATTCCTTTGTGGCAAGAATTATTAAATCTATTTTTATGTGGAAAAAAAAGTTGGAATTCATCAGGTGAGTGCTTGATCCACACTGGTAAAGGAATCCGGATCTTACTAAAACTATGATGGAAATAGCATGAGTTTTAGACTTTATTTGCATTCCCTTCTTGATTCTGCCAATCACTGTACAGAGCTTTGTGGAAGCTCAATGGAAGCTGGTAATTTGGGACTCCTTTAAAACCAAATTAAAAAAAAATTGTTCAGTATTTACTTAGAGAGTGGGGACAAAGTAGACAAGAAAGACTACTGGCAGTGAAGCTCAAAAGCTCCTCTTTTAAACATGTCTCTTACCACAATCCATAATCATCTTCATTATTTAATTGTTTATATTTTATGTTCTTCCCCATCCACCCCAACCTCCCACCCACATATTAACTCATTTGGATGTAAAATCAATGAAAACAGTCTTTACCTGTCTTTGTCTGCACTGCACCCCCAGTGCCTAGAAACATGCATAGTAATGGCAGGCACTAAGTGAGTATTTACTCAATTAACTAAATTAAATCAAGCTTATTCTGAAGATTAAATTAGTTATTATATGTTAGATGATTCTGATTTTGAAAGGAATATAATATTTCTGAATCTTTTATAAGATTAAATGGTCATTTCTTTAAGAAAAAACATCTATTTGTTTTATAATATAAAACATATAATTTACAAATAGGATACTTATTTAACCTAGTGTATTCCGAAAAGAATTCACACAGAAAGTAAATTATGCAGGCCTCTCTTAATATAAATCTGTTTTCCATTTAACAGTTTCAATAATTTATTACTCAAAAGTATAAAAGAGCATCACAAACTTACATATACATCTAAAACTGACTATAACTTATAAATTATAGAATATTGGGTTGGAAATGGCCTTGTATAGTATCTAGTTAAACTCCAAATTTTGTGGAAACTCCAAATGTAGAAACAGAGGACCAGAGATATAAAAGAATTTCCCAAACTACAGAGTCAGTAAGGGACAAAAAGACCACGACCTTTAGAAAACTGATTCCATGTCCCATTTCTTCCATTCAGTTCATCTTCAAAGACCATCACAGACACATGCTTTCCCTATCTTTGGTAAGCTACTTTCTATGAGATGATTAGTCCAACCCAATAACTCTGCTAATAAACTCCTAGAAAGGTTTTGTACTTTTCGACTAATACAATAGCCCCAAAGCATACAGTCTACTTATGTTTATCATTAAAATCTTAGCATATTAAGAATGTAAAACATATAATTAAATAAATAACTCACTTAAAAACAAATATACATGCTACTAAATAAATAAATAAATAAATAAATAAATAAATAAATAAAACGGGGAACAATCTCCAAATAGGATAACTATTAAGGAAATCTATAACTACTCAACTTGCCATTGACATGGTAGAATCTTCTCTGGGACCTAGCACAAAAGAAAAAGTTTACAATAACTTCCACAAAGTAACAGTGAGTATGCCACACTGAGAGAAGCACAAGCTTTGGGCCCACATCTCCTCTATTAATTCTGGGACAATTATTTAGCCACAACTCTAAAATAGGAAGGTTAATGTGCACATTGCAGGTATTTAAAGATTAAATGAAATCATGTTTGCAGAGTGTCTGACTCACAGTGGCACTCAATAAATGGTGGTCATGGTGACCGTTGATAGAATAGAAAATAAGGGTCAATTTTCCACAGTGAGGCAAAGCACCATTAAAAGTGAAGAAATTAGGACAACCTAATCAAATAATAAATTATATTCAGAAGGGAAAATAATCCACATTTGTTTGAATTGTCCAGTTTGACTGTTCCAAATTTTCTGGGGGAAGAAGGGAGAAGGAAAGATAACTAACTGAAAATATTATTGAGTAGCTCTTAATTTGATTTTTTTCACTGTGACACACATGATAGCTGGTGGTCAGTTATAACTCATTTTTGTGTGAAATTTCTGGCAATAAAAATAATTCCATCTGTTTTTTTCCCACTCAAGACGGGCTACTGAATCGCAAGTGAGCATGACATTATTGAGATAGGGTGGAACCTGCTCCAGTGTATCTTAAAAATAAGTAACTTGCAAATGTATATATTTCAGTTATTAATTATAAATTTCTTGAGGTACATCTCATAACTGATCAAGATTGATTCAACCCTATCATTGTCAGAAATGAGAAGACTGAGGCTCGGAGGGATTAAATGACTGGTTTACAATCAACAGCTAATCTGTGGCAAAGCAATAACTAAATTGTGAGTTCTTTCACGCTAATTGTATCAGGATCTTAATGCTCCAAATGGCCTTCTGTTCTTCAGTGTTTCTCAAGGTACCACATTTCAGCTGCACACTGAAATGGTAGGGATTCCATAAGGTCTGGGTTGTATTTGTTTGTTTGTTTTTGTTTGTTTGTTTTTGATGTATCTAAATTCCTTCTTCCCTTTCTTAGAATGGTAGATATTTGGAGAATTTGTCTGTATTTAATTTTACTCAACACATATTTATTAAGGCCAAACATGTTCTAGGTCTAGAGATCTAGGTGTGAACAAAACAAAATCTCTTCTTTCCTGTCTGTAAAAAGAAATGAACAAAAAAGAAAATAGGATTGCATTAAAAATTCAATTAAAATACAGTATTTTAGATAGTGATAATGGTTAAGGAAGAAATAAAAGCAAGAAAGAGATGGTACAGAAGTATGTGGGAAGAAGTGCGATTAATGAGCTGATATATTTTAATTCACTGCCATTTGATAATGAGAGATAGTCACTCCTAAAACATGCTCAGTCATGTCAGTGAAATATCCATCAACTGTGTTATCTCCCTATGGAGGCTCCATTTTAATTATGCAATGCCACATTTAACTATCAAGAAAACCAAGGCATGGAGAAAAATCAGACCCTAATCAAAACCCTTAGAAACCAGAATATGGCAAGATTGTATTCTAAATTGTTTTAAATGTTACCCATTTTCCTTCATACACTTCATTATTTTTTTAATGATTTATTATTATATTTACAGTATTTTTAAATTTTAATTTTCCTTATCCTAAACCTAGAGCACTGTTCTAAATAAGCTTTGATTGAGTATATTCTCCTGCCTTCCTTGTACACAGTGTATATTCTATAAAATGAAGGCACGATATGATATCCAAATAGCAAGTTCCTAGATGATTATTGCTTATGCTACTTCAGAAGTTTAAAAATGAGGTTTTAAGAGTTCTTCATACTTTTTAGATGATGTTCGTTTTGATTATTGTCTAACATGAAAGTATATATTTTCAATGCCATGTTCATTGTCAAAGTAAAATCTCTGCCTTCCCAATGATATAACTCAATGTCATTGTATACAATACTGACTTCCCTGTGTAGTACACAAAACGAGATCAGAATGAGAACATTTTGATTTGATGTAGGAAAGGAGAGAGAGATCTCCACTGCTGTGATTGGCAAGTGCTAGCAAATCTTCCCACCGAGCAAAAAAGATATAAAATTTTTTTGTTCACTTTCTCGTTTTTAATCTTTCCAATAGTACAGAAACTTAGAAAGGCTTAGGAGAAGCTAATGAAACATTTATTTTGGACAACCTTCCCATCTAAGGAGATCTGTTGAGCACTTACTTTCAATTGCCTTGATTTTATTTTCCCATGGGACACAAGCAGCTTTGAAGTTCTCAAAATCACGGAGAAATTTTGCCCATTTCTGTAAAGGAAGCCAAATATATCAGTAAAACCCAACCTCTTGTTTGTCAAGATGTTTATTCTCCACCCCCATCCCAAAATATCACGAGACAATGGGCTTGGAAAGATCTCTCTGGCACCATATAGCTTTTTATGAAAAGGGAAAACAATAGGTTTTACTTGCCTCCCTGGTCCCCACTCTTCCTCAGACCAATTTAGTTCAAAAATTTTTATGGATCCCTTGTTTTAGAGAAAATATGCTGAAAAATGTCTGTTTATTCTGCCAGACAATGAGAGCAGAGACTGAGTTAGCAGCAAACGGTTTAATTCAATATTCATCACATGAAGAAATTAATAATGTGTGAATTGTTTAATTCAATATTCATCACATGAATAAATTAATAATATGTGAATAAAACACAGTCCTGTCTTGAAGAGCTTCTAGGTCTACCATAATATACTGTACATAAACAGGTAATTTCAGTACAGGATAGTAAGTGTTATGACATGGGATACGTTTCATTCTGGTAGAGGTAGAGAGGTCAGCTAAATGGAAAGGCATGGTGTCATAGAAAAGGGGAGAAGAGAAAGAATCATAAATTAGTTTTTATAAAAGAAATTTCTTCCATTTTATTACATGTTGGGGCATCCATGGTCAAGAGGACTGCTAGGAAGAGTGAAAATGAGGCAGACAATTTTGCATGTGTGCACATTATGCTGGGATAACATGTCAGCTGGACAGGAACATAGAGCCTAAATAATAGTATGGGATGAGTCTGATATTCAAAAAATTACTTCAACTAGAAACAACACAAATGCCTGTCTATAACAGAATAGATAAATAAATTGTGGTATCTTCATACAGTGGAATACAACATATCAATAAAAATGACCTGTAATTCCCACAACATGGATATATCTCATAAATGTAATATTGCATCAAAGAAGCCAGAAACAGAAGTATAAGTACTACATGATTTCAATGATTTATATTGCAAAAATAGACAAAACTAATCTATAATATATATCATAAATATGTACTATGTATTTTATATTTAAGATATATGAACTTTATTTACAAAACATCTTTATGGGGATACATTTAGTTTACAGGTGGTATAACATTTGTAAAGAGGGGATAATAATACCATGCACCTACATTGCTGTGACAACTAAATATGATAACTTTACAGAAGGATTCAGTTCAGTGCTTGGTATATAATAAACACTAAATAAATGTAAGTTTCTTTTCTATCTTTTCCAAAAATCTATATTTCATTCATTTTTTTCTTATTTTCTATCCAATTTATAGTTTATGTTCCTGGTAAAGAAGAGCTATATATGTAGTTCTGTTACTTGTAGACATTTTGAGAAAGAAATTTTTGACCCAGCCCCCTTAACTACCAGAGAGTAAAAATGAAAGAGGCATAGTCTTTTACATTTGAAAGTGATAAAATCACACAAGTAAGTCTTTTGACATAAATCAAAATTTCTGAACTTAAAATTTCATTTTAACTCCTCTAAGGAGCCTTTTTTGAGCCTTTTTTTCCCCCTGAGTCACTCCCACCCCAAATTTTAATACCATAGATATACTGTGTATATATGCATATGCATACTTTATACATATTAAGTGTAAGATTTTTTTTCTCTCTCAGAATGGAACCAATTTTCTCCCCCTTGGGGTCAATATGGCCTCCATTGAAAATATATGGTGTCAAGTAAATTGAGTTATGAAAATACTTACCTTGGCCATCATCATCTTAAATGCAAACCACCTTTTTCCTTTTCCTTTCCCAAGAGCTCCTTCATTTTCACTCACAAATTTTTTTGCTTCCCTAAGAAAACAAAATAAGAGATAGGTGGGAGTGGGATGAGATTAATAGAATATAAAGGTAGTGGATATATAATTTTATTAATTTTGCAGTCTTATTTCTTCTAGAACCTTCTAGAACCTTAATGAGTTCTAAGCTGTATTTTATAACCTAGGAACCTGTAATGGATGTTTAAGTTGTTTAACTTTGGCCAGGAAAAATAAGATATTTTAGTCTAGCCTATTAATCAGCTGGAGTCACTGAAAAGCAAGGAATTTATGCTAAGTGTCAAAATAGAGAACCCTAGCTCTTCTCATTTCTAACACACATAAAACTGAATCTGAAGTTTACTTCAGATTCCAGCAGTCAGAATGTTTACTCTAAAATACTTTCTCTCCTTCTTTTTTAATTATTGGTATTATTTTTTTGAAATAGGGCAGAGAGATTAGGACAAACTGACATAGAACACTCTTACTGACCTGGTATTTAATCTCATAAAACCAATTATGATTTAAAACAGAAAAATCATCTTATGTAAAGCAAAGGGTTGGGAGAAGAGGGAAGAGGAATGGAAAACTCTTTGGCTTCGCATTTAGAAAGGGCTTCATATTTTAACTTTAACATTATTTTCAAATATCTATACATTACAGTAGTCACACTAATGTCTTTGCGTGTATGTTGAAAGGCATTAATTTATCAAAATGGATAATGTGAACCCATTAAAAATACTATAATATTTGTAACTTTGGTCAATTTTGTTGTCGTTGTTGTGTGTTTGATATACGAATAAAATTTAGAAAGTGGAGGCGAGCCAGGCTTGTCTTGACCTCTCAGGAGCCACAGAGAACCTGAGAGGAAAACCGAAACTCAACTGTGATTATACAGGTGCAACACTGTCATCAGCTGCATGGCCCCTGGAATGTACGGTTTTATAGACAAGACCATTCAACACATGACTATGAATAAACTTGTTAACAAACAAAATATATCGTGAAAAATTAAAAAGCTAGTGAAGAATTTTTTGTAAGATGTTTCTTAGTGCTGAACTCATGATTTTACAATACCCAGTGATCAAAACACAACACGAAACTGCTGACTTAGCTGATAACTAGACAGTGGTGCCCCATTACTCACCTGTACATGGGCACCCACTCATAGTCTGCCATAAACACACAAGCACAATGAGAAGATTCTCTTCAGTCATCAAAAAGACCCCACAAATCAGTTCTTTGAGAGCGGGGACAATATCTTGTCCTTTTGTATCTCCCCCAGCATTGTCAGCTTCTTGGACAATAGGAAGTGCTTAATAAACCTAAACCTGCTGGAAATAGAGCTGAATGGCTTAACTCAGAGTAGATACAGACAAGGGAGTATCTCATAATTATATTTTCCACATCAATTAATGCTTGAAGATAAGGTTATTCCTAGACTTTGGAATTGCACTCTTCCTCATTAGTCTTCTCAGAAACTTAATAGAACAGCCTCTTGGAAATGAAGAAAAGTTACTAGGCTGGCCTTGCTGTCAAACACCCTGACATTTGACATAAACTCTGGGCTGTGGAGATTAATCGAAAAATGGTTCCTAAAACATTTATTTATATATTCTAAAATGTTCAATAGAGGCACATCGAGAAGTATAAATTGAGCTCTCATGACCAGGTTTTCAGATTTGTGCAATCAAGAAAACATCACATTTAAGCATTAACTGTGTTATAGAGATAAAAACACAAGAGCACAGCATCTAGCAGACATTTAAAATTTTGAACTGATCTAAAAGTCAGGTAACAAGTTCTAACCCAGCATCTGAGATTTGCCTCTGTGACCCTGTCTACGTTTTTGATGCTCTCTTTACACACGTTCACAAGTGTCCTGCTTCTCAAAGAAAAGCTCACTCACTCAGGATGCACACAGACCTGAGCAAGTTCTGGCACAGGTCCCCTTAGATATTGCATGGCCTTTAACAGGTCAGTATTTTCAAACAAGCGAACAAACAAAAAGCAGGCACTTGCCTCTCTGCTTGCCAGGGTGGTGGCAAGAATAAGGTGAGATCGTAGATGTGAAAGTGCTGAAGGGATTATCACATGGTCAATTCTACTGTAAAGGTTGCTTCGAAACCACAAATTTGTTCGAACATGATTGATAGATTATGGAAATATTTGAGCATAGCACAAAGTTTTGTTTGCTTATGTGTGATTTTATCTATAAGAAACACTAGTCGAATGCAGAAAGCTGCATCCAGCTAAACCCAGCAATGTGGGAATACACAAAATGCACGCATTTTATCTACCAGCTCCCTCACTGCTTCACCCATGTTAGAAAAGCCCCATCTGTTCACAGCTGGTGTTTCAATGAACCTCCTTCCATGATTCACCATAACTCACACATTGCAACCCTATCCTGCTAAGGCACTTCCACAAGCAAACTCTAGGTCTTTTCAAAAGTAAACTGCCATGTTTATTATAGTATTTATATATTTCTTAACCATTCAGCATGTGTAAAATGTTGCTGTCATTTTACACCTACCCTTTTTAATGTGTTACTGGTTATGTTTTTGAGTATTGCACCCTTATTCCCATTTTGCCCAATTTTGCATATTTTGGTGATGTTTAGGAACCTATACATTGTATTATAGGAGAACTAACTATAATTCAATTATTTGGCATCAAGAATTTTAATCATAAAACCAATTATACGTAGGACTCATTTCATCATTCTCTGTTGTAATAAACATAAACAGAAAGTCAAATATTCTTCTTAGTAGTAAAATCTAAATTTGTTTTTTAAATGTAAAGTGCCTACTTTATAGGCAAATTCACTACTCTAGATATTTAGCAGATAATCTGAAAGGTACTCAGTAAGTTACGTCACTTACTAGGATGGCCAATTAGAAAACATGACCTCTCTGAGCAGTCAGAAGTGTAAAGATTATCTACCTTACTCAATATTTCTCACAAGATTTTTAATTTTGTGAGCAGATGATTATGGCACAAGAACATTAAACTATGAAGATTTAAGAGAGAAAGGAAAGTCAGAGTTATAACCAAATTAAAATAATCACAAAATTAGTTATAAATTCATTTAACAACATAGAAACCTATTAACATGGCATTCATGAGATTTTTGTCATTTATTATAATTCTCCTTTGAACAATCTAACAAGATTTTATTGTCTCTTCAATTGTTAAGTTTTCCCTGATGATAGTCACAGTTTCATATTTCTCTCCCAATTACTAACTTATGCCACCCTCAACATACATATATAAAAGTCTGGATTTCACTCTACTCCACATAATCTCAGATTTGAATTTCTCCTCTTTCTTAATACCCTACCCCCTCTTCCATTCTTCAAGAGATCTCCCCCCAGATTTCATACAAAAGAGATCCCTAAACAACCACTGCCCTCCTGCTGCTCCCCACTGCCCACACTGGCCAAAATAACTGCTAGACTCAATTCATCAAAAATTGGTGGGGTAGGGAGTGGACTTTAAAACAAAGCCACGGGCCATGGGATGGATAGAGAATAATCGTTTAGCAGGAACAGATTCAAATTCCCCTAATCTTATGCTCTTGGGATGTGAAGAAGCACTCTCACAGTTGGTAGGCTAAGAAGAGGGAAGACCGGACTGGAAGAGGCCAAGGACTCAGTGAGAGAACATGCCTCAACAGTATATGCAGGGCTGACCTTTGCAATGATCTGACATGACATCAGAATGGAGGAAAATTAGCATCCCTTCGTCCTATCTGCCCTGATACAGATTTCTTAACCAGAAGACATCTTTCATTGTGCTATTAGAAACAAGATACTGAATGAAACTATCCAATATGAAGATAAACACTGATATTTATCACACTAAAGTGCCCACGATAGATACCAGAATGCAAGGAAGGAAAGAGCAGAGTCTTTGAAAACTAAAAGGTAAAAATATTTCTTCATATTTTTCTTAGAGTTAATCCATCTTCCTACCCATTTATATTTATCAGGATAATTTAAAGGGATTTTTCCACATGGCTAAAATGAAATAGACTTTTGTGGATAAACTTTGGCCTCAAACCATCCAAATGTCTGACTGAAAAATGTGTATCATCCCCTTAAATTGCATTCAACGAAAGCTGTCTGCCAAGACTGTAATTCGGTCTCCAGGTCTCAGAGCTCAAGCAAAAATCTTGGTACAATATGCACAGCTCCCTGAGCTGTAACCCCAGACCCAGGGATAAATAATTGAGTGAGCTCTATTTAATGACAATAATACCTAGCTTCATAATTCATTTATCAACCCCTTGTGTTGGTAATTAGAATAACAAAGTACCATGAGCTTTCAAGAATGCTTTCACAGTTAGTTGAAGGAGCACACTTTAGCCTAACTTACAAAATAGATAATTTACCCATAACACATGATACAACCCTTTTTACACAAGGGAGTTAAGACATGCTATGCTGCCTTTGACACATTCTCATTCCAGGAAACATGTTCCCTGTTTGGGTTAGGTTATATTGATTTTTCTGTCCTCTTGTTTTCAGTGTGATGGTATGATTAAGCAATCAATTTATTGCTCTGGTAAATGAAAGACATTTCAAAATTGATCTTTAAGGCAACTGTAATCAAAACTCATACTCATGAGCACTTCCCAGTAAAAGGATAAGAAGAATGAAAGATCTTTTCATCATAAGCACATTTTTAAAAATTTGATCATTTAAATCTGACTTTTCCTAAAGTATTACTGACTAATTGAAAGAAAGTTGTAGAGGCAAGAAGCTAGTCTAATGCGCAGAAACTAAAAATAAGGACTGCAGGCCTACTAGATAATATAACTCTATAAATAGACTGGTGGAACTATTTAAAATCATCCTAATACTCAAAGCGATGGTTCAAAGCATATGTTTTTATAAAAGAGATGCTGGTGACAGCAGTTGTAATGGCTAAAATGCTCAGTTGCTTCATCTATAAAATAGACATAATAATAGCTATTCCATTAGGTTTCAGTATGCTTTATAGAAAATAATGTATGATGTATAAAAGTATATA